GGCCTCCCGGCCTGGAGAGCAACCGGGAGGAGGGGGAGGAGATCTCGTCTGCCCTGCCCCGGGCCCCGAGGGTGCTGCGGGGCTGAAGGGGGGCCCTCCCGGGGCCGCTTGGGGAGGAGGAGGAAATGGCTTTAGGCGGTGGCGGAAACCGAGCCTTGCGGACGGCTTCGGTGGGGAGTGGGGCGAAAAGGTGAGAGAAGGGGTGTATCGCAAAAAACAGGCGTGCTGGCTTTGGTACTCATGGGTCTGGCCCCGAGTTTGAGGTTTACATTTCTCTTATGGTTTGATACATTTCTAAACAATAATATAAATAGATCGGGAGCGAGAATAATAGGTATCGTCAAAGAGGTGATGGTCTCTGCCGTGTGTAAGTCTTGCAGAGGCTGGGCAGATCTGACATTTGCGTCTGGGTTGCAAGGTCTTGGATGTGTTTTTCTGAGTCCTCCGGCATGGAGGAGTTTTACATTTTCAGCGCTAACCGCACCTCAAAATGTCCCCGGGTCTGTAGGTCTCTGCTGGGTGGTGCAGCTGGTTTTAAACTCCCCTTCGATCTGCCTGGCCCTTTCCCTTAGGAAGGGAAAGGACCGGTGCGAGTACAGCTGGTTGGTGGGCTTCTCCTGCAGCAAGCGAAACAGGCATTTCACTGCAGATGGGTACACAGTGAATTAAGCCACTTATTTAACTATGAGAACAAAGCAAACAGAAATATGAACTGGAAGGAACTGTGTTGTTTGGTTAAAATGCTGAAGAAGAACTTGGAAATAAAAAAGACTAAGTAACCTGTATTAGTGTAGAGTTGGACATTGGATGCAATTAAATATGAATTAAAAAATTGAAACCTATCTAAATATACAGATAGCTCTGGCTTTTAAGAACGTCACCTTTTACTGGTGAGTCCTTAAAACCAACTGAATTAACCTGGCTTCTGTGTCGTTATTGCTTAGCTTGTATCTCTTCTTGTTTACAAGATTGCGTATTGCTTTTTCCTTCCTCTTACTCTGACAGACACGTGTGCGCCTCCAGATAGGCTGCAATATGCAGAGCTCAAGGATAGTTTCGGCACAATGAGCAGCTTTCCCATTGGAACGACAGTGTCGTACATCTGCCGGCCAGGGTATATGCCAATCTCTGGAAAATCATCAACTCGTACATGTGGTAAAGACTTGCAGTGGTTGCCCACAGAGCAGTTCTGTACAGGTAACATGTGCATGAGCTCTTTTGCTTTTTCCTTTTGATATTTAAAAATTTTAGTTGTTTTTCAAGAGACAATTAGTATTCTGTAATATTTTAAACAAAGCTTGAAAAATGCTAATGACTGTAAGAGCAGTCTATGCCAAAGACTTAGTCTTTGTATATAACTACAAAGACTTAGATTTTTTATTTTTCTTTTATTTTCCCCTTTTCCTAGCGAGAAAATGTAACCATCCAGGAGAACTAGAACATGGTTTTGTTCATGTGACAGATCTTACATTTGGTTCAAAAGCTACTTTTTCTTGCAAAGAAGGGTAAGTATTTTAGTGAAGTTAATGAATTCCTTTTCTTTTCTTTTTTTTTTTTTTTCTTTCCCTGTTTAGACCAGATTTGAACCAAACCCAAATTTTCTTATCCAGGTTCCATTCCAGTTCTGACTTGAAATGTCTCAGGAATTCTACCTGGAGCAAATGAAATTACAGCTAAATTTGATTTGATTCTCTGGTTTTACTTGCTGTTTGTATGGACCAAGGCTTAAGCTTTTTACTGAGCCTTCTGCACAGTGAAAATTAGAGTGTTAGCTCTAATGACTTCTTTTAGTGAAGTCATTCACTTCTTGTGGCAGAGGGAATAAATACATATATTTATTGTGCTTCATTATTATATTGAATAATGGCCCACCTGTCTGTGTATAGCAAATTAAGTCAAAAGCACTAACCTCTCACAAGGTTTTTTCCTCCCTTTCCTTTCAACAGCTTATTTCTTTAGTATTAGAGGGTACACATCTTACAATGGTGAGACTTCCATCATTTCCTTTAGTAATGTCTCATTTGCTTCTCTTTTGTTTTCAAAGTTGAGACTGTTAGCAAAATAAAAAAAAAAATAAAAGGTACCATTCTCATTACAACAAAAACCTGTTATGTCATGTCCCTGTAATCACAGAACAGAATTATATAAATGAAGTTTCTGTTTGTTGGAGAAATGAGAGTTCCACCTCTTTAAAAATTTTTACCCGTCTAGGTTCAGATTACGTGGCACTGATGAAATTTCCTGTATAATTCAGGATAAAGGTGTTGGCTGGAGTAAAGATCTTCCTTTCTGTGAAGGTAAGTAAAATAGTACCCTGGTTTAAGTTTTTATTCAGACAGTGGTAGCTCATTTAAAAACAGGTGTGCCATAAACTTTCCAGTATAAGACATGATGGTAAAATAGGACTGATTTTTATTTTTTGGAACTGTGCCTGAGGAATGACCATTGGAAAATATCAGTTATTGTGATAATTAGCTCATCTCAGTTAAAGTCAACCTCTTCTTGAAATTGAGACTCCCTATGACACATGACCATTGGTAACTCTCAGTTACAACTGTAGCTTGTCTTAGAAATAGCGATCTGTCAGATTTTAAATTAAATTCCTTTAAAATCAAGGCGCTCTATTTCTGAGATGAACAAAGTAACAGCAAAATTCTGGCGACTAATCGGTGTGATTTGTTTCTAGGAATCCCTTGTAAACCACCTCCAAGTATAGCCAATGGGCGCTACACTGAAGCAGCTACCTATGTCTATGAAACAGCAGTAACCTATACGTGTGACGATGTACCAAAAGGCGCGGATCCCTTCTCGCTAATTGGCCCAGCTACTATTTTCTGCACGTATGATGCACACTTAAACGGAGTTTGGAGTGAACCACCTCCACAATGTAAAGGTGGTTGCGATTTTTAATATATTTCTTTATTATAGCCTGTGTGACTCCAAAACTTCAGTATCTGTCCCTTTTTTGGAAGGGGTGGAAGGGAAATGGGCTTAGATCCTCTGGTACTAAATTTGGTGTAGTTCCAGTGGAGATCAGATCAACTGAACATTATGGATGTTGATTGATTATGACACAGAACATGACAAAAATTTAAGTTAAAACTTTTAAAAATATGTGTATGAACATGCTATTGGTAGAAGTGACAAGGAAAAAAAGTAAAGGAGCTGAGAGACCGTAAAGCCTGGGTAGTTGAAGAAGAATTGTGTAAAGAGCAAGAATGTGGAAGCTAGATTATGAATAGTAAAAAGGTAAGGAAGAACTCTTTTTCTAAACACAGCTACTGTGCAAGTACAGAAATAAATGCAAAGCCCAGCAAGCATGAAGTCTTGCTTTGCAGACATAGGGAGAAATACCAGATGCTTGTGTGTTGTCATTTGAACCCTAATCAATATCACTTTGTTTTCTGAAATTCTGCTACTGTACAGGAGTATGTCTTTGGAAGTGGGAACGTGATTATATCAATTATTACAATTTTTTACTTGACTGTGTAGTGTTGCAACTCAGTAGCTTAAACCAAGGACCTTCTCCACCTTCAAGAGAAGAACCTTTTTACAAAGCCCCTCCAAAAGAATTTGAGGAATTAGATAAGGAACCTTACAAGTAGTAAAAGGATGCTGTGTCTGTTGCAAAGATACTGGTAACAAATGTTTCATAGCTGTTTTTCTTTTACCTATTTCAGTGGTCAAATGTGATAACCCGAAGGTTGAAAATGGGAGAAAAATATCTGGATTTGCATCTTCCTATAGCTATAGGGAGTCCGTTGTATTTGAGTGTGATCCAGGCTATTTCATGATTGGTTCGCATATTATTAGCTGTGGAGAAAATAACACCTGGTCTCCTCCAAAACCAACTTGTGAAAAAAGTAAGCTTTTAAATAAGAATCCAACTTCCCTTGTATGTTGAGAATGTTGTAAGTCTGTCTTAACTAAAATTTAAGATCATAACACTAGTTGGAAATCAGAAGCGAAGGTAGTTAACATGGAGCCTCATCTATGGGCAACCATTTTACGTGTTCAAGTTGACTCCGAAGAGTCTTTGGATAAGAGTGATTTGAGTTACAGACATGTATATAGAAATTGTGGTGTGGACATACTGTGATGGTACTGCATCATAATAGTATCATGGAGTTTGTTCTAGTGATTTCCTGTGTAAACACAGAAGAAAAGAGATGTTTCCAATTTCTGATAGAAAAAAAACTAGCGGTATGGACAATGAGGAAACATACAGTGTCCTTTTAGAGTAATCAAAATCATTACTCGTCTGTGTTCTCTTATGCATGACGTATGGTGTGTGGTATGTTGTTAGCTTTTGGTCAGGCAATATTAAGTCAGGGCTGGGACATAGCAGAGGTCTTTCTGTAACATTTCTCCTTCCTCTTTGTGCTGGAGGGAGAGGGAATGTTGTTGTACAGTGAGATAATTTTTTATGTGCATACTCTAATAATGAGTTCCCAAGAATGAGAGCTGTTTCTGCAAAGAGTGTGTTTGGATGTTCCATAATGAATGAATCTGAAAGGCACCTGGTGATTATTCTAGAGCTTACCAAAATAATTAACCAACAAACACGTATTGCTTAGCTGCCACATCATAAGATCATATTACCTTAATGAATACCTACCATGATGTTTCTTTTAAGTCCTCTGAAGGAAACATACATACTTAAAATCGTGGTAAAGTTAAAAGTATTCAGATATGCTGATCTGTTTTTCTCATACAAAGGCAATGTATGTTTGTGGAGTCAGTTAATGAATTATGAAATATTTAAAGTTTATTATCACTAAACTTATTTCTAAATTCATGTATTAGTTACTGAAGATGTATGTGGTGCCCCAAACATCGCACATGGAGTAGTGATTCCAGCGAAATCTGTGTATGAAGGAGAAGAGTCTGTTCAGATAAAGTGCAATAAGCACTGCACTTTCCCTGATGGCACTGAAGAGATGACCATAACTTGTCGAGGACGGAATACATGGTCGTCTTTACAAAACTGTGCATGTGAGTAAAACTCATAATTGGTAAAATCAAGGGCAGAGTGACAAGTTCCTAATGCAGTAACGTGCAGACCCTGAAAGTCAGAGGTCCATCCATCACAGGGCACCAACAGGTTGCGGTAGTGGGGTGGTGAGTGTCATGGGCTGGAGTTTTCAGCAACTGAGGAAAGTTTTCGGCAGAGTTGGAGTCCTTGTTCAGTCTTAGTTTTGTTTATGGAAATTGGTAAAGTTCAAAGGCCAGTGTGAAAGATCTGTTCTGGGAGTGTTTTGTGAAGAGGCTTCCTTTGATGACGGCAGAGTTCAGTCTCGCCTTGCTTTGCACCATGTGATCTCTTGCTATAATATAAACAGTTTGTTATTACTTTGATGCAGCTGTTTGCCCTAGTGAGGCTGAGAGGTGCGTTTCTGTTAACGTGTCTGAAGCGTGTCCATCAGCAGAAGTACCCACAGCCTCTAGGAAGCAGGAAGCCTTTGCATATAAAATGCGTTGCAGGTTGACTGAGCTTCTGATAGTTACACAAATGTAGAGACTTTTTGATGGCAATTTCTTGAATCTGTTTCATGTACCAGCTCTGTTCTTGGACTTTATTTCCTTTTTGGTGTTTTTCCCCCTCTCTCTTTCCAGGTGAGCCTAAAACTTCTGGTTTCACTCCACACATAAGTTATGGTAGAGTAATTGATGGACAAAAGCCTTCATATTCTGTCGGGGATTTTATTACGATTGAATGTTATGCAGGCTACACATTACATGGTGAAGCTCGTATTCAGTATATCGGAGAAAACCAGTGGATTCCTGGAGTGCCAACTTGCCAGTTAAGTAAGTATGAACTGCAAGAATTCCCACTAGAATGAAAATACATGTAACAGAAGCTTTACTTCTGGGGACATTCTTTTGTGTTCAGGAGAGATCATTTAATGCAAACTTCCTTCTTTATTTGGACATAAGAAAAATAGGTTTTGGTAAAATCCACTTAAAAATAGGAACATTTTAAGTTAAATAACTGTTATGATATAAACTGGCCTGCTGCAAGGATTGTGTTGACAGAAGTGCTTAATGTATTTGAAATAACTTTGTGAATATTTTTATAATGTTTGAATAGGAAGCACATGTGTTCCTCTTGTGATACTGATTCACTCTGTTTTTAGGTGCTTATATTACGGCCATCATCTGTGGTAAGTATCTTACAAAACCTGAACAAGATACAATGTGGATTATATTTTTTAATGTGGAATTGATATTCTGGTCATCACCTGTGACTGCAGTAATGTAACATGATTTTGGAGTTTTGGTTATTGTAAAAATATGTGTCTACTTCTAAAGCTGCATAGTTCAAGAAAAGTTAAGATTACTTAGCAATCATAGATCAATTTCATGTAAAATGTGTATTTTTTCATGTGTGTGAGGCATCAGATTTCAAAGGCAGTCTTCCACAACTTAGTCACTTCCATAAACTCTTCAGAGCTTGGGTTTACTGGAAGTGTGAGTAAATAACTGTGCAAGTGAACAAAAGGGCTTAGTCCATCTCCTGACCATGCATTTGTTACCCAAGTATGTAAGCCTACCGCTTTGTTGTAAACTTGTTGTAAAAAGTAATGTTAGGATGTTGACATGCCTCTTCTAATGTTACTGAGCTGGTGGGGTTTTGCCATCTAGGTGGTCACTGTTCTTGAGCTGAACTATCTTGAAGAGTCTCGAGCAAAGCATCAGAGACGTATTTGTGAAATAAGCCATGCAAATGTTAAGGTTTGGGATTTTTTTAAGGGTTGGGGGTTGTGTAGAACTGTGGATGAAAACAGTGCTATTTCTCCTAAAAACTGTTGAGGCTTTTTTGTGACCTAGAGGTGATCTTTAGCGCTCTAAGGCTTTTTTTTAATTCTTCCTAAAGTGATTGTGGCATTAGTGGTGTGCCTGGCAGCCTTCTGGGTCTATAAGAAATTCTTTTCACAAAATGGGTGAGTAAGCCTACTTTTTTTTATTGTTATTGCAAATTCCTAAATGACTGAGCAAAAGCAGTGCTAACGTGTGTGTAAATTTCTTGAGCTTTATCTGCCCTTTCTTTTTCAAATGCCTGATGATATGTGAGCTTATCACAGCAGCTGATGAGAAGCTAAAGTGCCTAACAATACATTTGACTTCGGGTTTGTATCTGCTATTCAGATAAGCTGCTAATTAACACTTGCACTAACTTGAAGGAAGGGGAGACCCTGTTCTTAAGCTTGTATTTAGCATAGGTACATTTGCATCTGCTCTAAACCATGTCAGTTTACCTCTTAAAACCAGTGATAGTATTGGCTTGCGTGGGCTTGTGTTATTTTATTGCTTGGATTCCCTCTGGCATCACTAGGTCTCAGGCTTTAAGAGCCAGGGTGGTTTACATGAGTTTGGAAGCCTTGGAGGTGAACTAAGGAGCTTCCTCTCTTCTACGTGAGATGTACCAATGGTAGTGGAGGGTAACTAGAGAACCAATTTGTGTTTTGGACCAGAAGCACCTTAAATAAAATAATACGGCCTTAGTTACAAGGAAAATGTGGAAAAAAGGCTTGTCCTAAATTGGTACTCCTGTGCTGTTTGATAAAGCAAATAGTCAGCTTTGCTCTTAGAATGTTTAGTATGTGGATCCACGTCATTTTTTTTATCTTCCCGCGGCAGCAATGATTGGTGTCCCTATGTTAAAGACCTGCAAAATCAACTGTAAAATATTAGATGCATAAGTAATAGTGTTCTTCTGGTTTTAATGAGACATGGGGCCTTCTGAACTTTTATCTTCAAAACAACTGATTGTTGTATATGCTTTTTCATGGAGGGGTGGCAGGAGATTTAAATGCCTCTTTGCGCATTGCTTCTTGCAGTGATGTCTTATTTTTTCTTCTTGAAAAAAGCCTGTTTTGTTGGAGAAATAGTTTGTAACATGCAAAATACTGAAAATTCAGAGCAGGTTAGGTGGTACACATAGAATGTTATGGTAAGCTTCTCATCAAAACTGTGACTACCTTTTAACAAAACCTGTTGGAATTTATCTCGAGTATGTGCAGCAAAGGAATGATTGCTATAAATAAAGCAAACCAGAGGAAATATCCCTGCAGTTCATATTTGTAAGGAGGCACACACACTACTACTTGGGAGAACCTTGAAGCTAGCTTCTATCCAGTGAGGTTTTAGCTGTAGTATCTTCCACATAGGCAGTACAGTATTGTTACAAGGGCCAGAGTGGCCCTGTAAGCAGAGTGCCTGTGTACCTGCGTTGCTCAGTGATTCAGTGCTTTGGAGCAATTATGTTTCGTCCATGATTTGGATAATCTGCAATCTGGATGGCCCGAATAAGAGTACGTGGGAGTTAATAGCATTAGGGCAGCGCTTTCTGCCTTCATCTGTGGAGGGACTTCTCAGGGTGTAGAAAGGAGGAGGCATCTAAAGCAACATCATCAAAAATTAACATTATATTCCTCAATTTTGCAACATGAGAAGCCTTACTGCGCCCAATGCTTTCCTTAAGCTTCCTTGCTGTGAACATCTGACTATTAAACCTCTTTTTTTGTCCGAAACCCCTGCTTTAATCTCCTTTTATAAGGCCTAGATCTCCCTATTGAGTTTTCTGGGTTCCTGATGTAGCTGAGCCTTTGCGAACTGTTGTGCTTCCAGTATCTCATTCTTGCTGGATCATAGTTTTCAAATTAGAGCAAAAATCTTTTGTTGCCCTCTCTTTCTTGTGTGTTTAATCTGCTGGTTTTATAGGACATTCAATTAGACCTTTTTCCCCTTCTGCTGTTCAGCTCGTATACAGTTGATGAGAGTTGCAAGGAAACATGTATTTTAAAAACTAATGTACCAGCTGAGAAGGAAGAAACTGCACAAATGAATTAATTGATTCTTTAAAAGGTATACACTTTCCACTTAATTTGGACTTTTGCAGTGAAGCTTAAGTGTCTTTTTTGGTATGATGGTTTGCTTAGAGTTTCAGAAGTGTGGAATCTAGCTAGCTGGGAACCTTGGTTTCCTATAGGAAAGATTATAATAACCATTCATTCATTTTGGAAAAATAGCACGTATTACGTACAGAATTGTCATTCAGTGTTGTAAATGATAGCTTCAAGGGATTGCATATCACTTATCTTAGTTTTGGGTTGTCTTTAAAGAATGAGTAACATATTTTTCTGTAAGATAGAAACTACATGCTTACTCAGTTGAATGTTTGCACCTGTCTCAGTAATGTGAAATGGATTCCAGTGGCACATCACTTCTGTTAGCTAATAGTATAATTCCCTATAACTAGAAGACTTTTGGAGCTGGAAACCACCTTTGCTGAGTTACATGGACACTAGAATTATAAAGATAGTGTGCATCCCTTCAGAGAAAACCAGATTACAAGTGTCTGAGAATTACTGATTCATCTGTTTTTCACCTGTCTAGAAGAAAAGTAAAATAAACAAGGTGCAAACAAGGTCGTCTTTTCAAACCTTTTTATAAAAAAGGTGGTTTCTTTTTCAAATTCAGAGTTCCATAGCCCTAAAAAGGATCAAAACGTACTGCTAGTTTGGAACTGATTTCCTCTCTTATATTTTAAACTAGTCCTTAGTCCAGTAGTCAGATGCATTTGATGATAGTTGCGATTGCTCCTGCACTTCTGTAGGGTCAAATCAGCTCTTTCAAAAACCTAACTCTTCAAACCTTGTTACAACAGGACAGATTTAAGACAGGACAGCTTAATTTGTCTGTTCCTTGTCAGTATTTTGTCATTACTACCTTAACAGGTAGAGTTTGCACTTCAAATCCTTTTGTAAACTAGTATGTTCATGTGTGTCGCTTTTCTCCATTGCACAAGTTCTGAGAAGGTAATAGTTGAAACCTTGTAGCTCTTATTCTGACTTAATGTAAAGGTCTCTTCAAATGCAGTCTTAATTTTATTTACTTTTAAATAACAAGTGACTTCTCAGTGTTTTTGATAAGTTTGAGATGGCATATATGAAAATTAAGCTTGGAGTTTCTTCCAAAATAATGTATGAATTAAGGAATATCATCTTTACCTCTGAAGTAAGATGGTTTTGATTGAGATGGGATTAGTTTTCTGGGTTAGTTGGGCTTATTTTTGGAGAGAGGAAAAAAAGGAATCAAAAGTTCTTATGTCCATCTTATGTTTTGCACATGACAATGATAAGAGAAATTAATTGTCTGGTATGTGTACATACTGTTAACCCCTGAGTTTTTCTTAGGGTATCTAGAACTCCTTAGAGACCTAGAGTAATAGTGCAGAAGTTTGATATGGGTTTTCTTCTGTAAAGCAAAACAGGAGTTATTCAAGAACTTGAAAATACATATATATGGATGTAGTTATGAATTTTAATCCTCATATGCTTGTAAATTTGCTGTTAGCGGACTACAAAATTAAAATTATCACATTCAGCTTCTGGTTATAAAATATGTACTAAACAACATACTGTATTTAAAATAAATTATAAGGAATGTTCCTGATGTACTCTCCAAATCAATCTGTTTTCAGTGTTTGATGGTACTCAGGCATGGTCTGTTCATCACTTGAAATGATCCATTGGGATCAAATGGTTTTCTATTCTGGGGGTCATTTGTAGCAGTCTAGTGGATGAAATGAAGCAAAAATCTCCTCTGTCTAGCAGTTGCTTAGTAAGAAGAGGACAAATAGTGATTTAGTTTCGTGACTTTACCTGTTGATTTAATGACAAAACTAAGGATATGCTTTCAGAATAAATGTAAAAGCTATTTAAATGTAAAATCTCTGATTTGACTTGTTTTTTTGTTTGTAGGAAACGCGACAGCACTCCATGTACTGCCGAATATAAGATCTGTAACGCATGAATGGCCTTTTTTGGGGGTGGGAGGGAATTAGCAGCTGAAAATACCTATCAGAAATGGAAAATGGTTGCACTTGCATTGAGTTTCTGTAGATGAATATCTTGTACTATGTCTTACACTACTGATTAACTGTAGTAGGAGATAAAATTAATAGGGTAAAAAGAATATATATATATATATGCTTTTCTTTATGCGCCACTCATACTGTCTTTTCTGTGTATGTGAAATGGTCTTAAAGGCACATAGCGTGCAAGAGTATCTGTGTCGGCGGGAGTACTGGATGTATCACTGTCATAGTACCAGTTGCTGCTGCCTGCTGCCTTCAGTGCTACCTCTTTTCTTACGGAAGACTATCCAATATTAGCTCTGCTCACTAAAATCCAAATGTGCTTCTCGTTCATGTTTGCAGCTGAGGCGGTATAAATGAACAGTGTTGTCTCTTGTATTCTGAAATGTTTTATTATTAATTTCCTTAAGAGATTAGTGCCATTTAAGGCTATGTCTTTTTGAAACTATCACAGTTTAGATCCTCTTTGTTTGCCAAAGTTGGTTTCTGTGTATCTAAATAATTAAAATGTGCCTTTAAATAAGAGTTTTATAGCTTTTTCCATTGTCTGTAAGAAGGAAAAAAGCCATATATATTTCTGGCTCTTTGATATAGTCCCAGAAAGACTACAGTGGATTTGTTGGAATGGAAGACTGAAGGTTTCTATAGCAAAGGGATCCCCTGCCTTTGAATTCGTTGGCTTATTGACAGAAGGTACTTAATTAAAGGAAGTGTTGAGAAAGCAGTGGTAGCCATCTCCCATCAGGAGCACAGTGTAAGTTCCTTAGGACGCTTGGTTTTTCTGGAGCCTTGATGTCATTTTCTGAGATACTTTTGTTGCTTTTCAGGATGGACAGGGTGCTGTATGGATCTAGCTTCCTCGCTTCTTTAACTTAAAATTGTGTATTCCACATACAGAGATTTCAAATGCTATACATGCTACGGTGCTAAATCTAGCTCTGCAATGCTAGATTTAGCATCAGATAGCTGTTGAGAAACAGAAGCTTTTCCCTGTCTGACTCCTCTTTTCATCTAAAGGAAGACCAAAGCAGCTCATTTGCGGGAGTGAAGGAATGGGTGTGCTGGCAGTGGCGGTAGACATGATTTCTCTTTAGGTAGCTGTTTGCTTCATGAAGTGTTTGTCAAGATTGTGACTTCAGGAGCTCCCATCACAGTATTTGCCATGAATTGAGGCTCAGTCATGTATTGATAGCTGCTACTTTAAATGCATACTTGCTATTTCTAATTCCTTATTAAACCAAAACCTTAATTAGGACAGGTTTTGGCTTTGTGAATCTCTGAGTTTGCTATCAACATACAGGCAGCTTACAAAAACCAATTTTCCCAGAAAAACCAAATTGCCTCACTTTAGATGGCTGAGGCAGCATTTAAACTATTCTTGCTTTGTTACTGTGGTAGATTGGCACTGCTCTCTGCTCTCGTGAACAGATTGTTTGAATAACATAGAACTATTTAGGGCTTTATAGGGCTTTGTGGGAAAATCCCAGCAGTTGTATTGTCAGAGTTCATAATAGTCTCTCGTTATTAAAAAGGGGTTTGGGCTATGCAGAATGACTTGCTATTCATTGCCTAGCTGATACCTAGTTTGGTAACTGTTTGTAAACACTATGGTAATATACTGGGAATTGAGTGTGTTGGTCGCTAGCTAGTGTGATTATATATGGCTTCTTCGATGGTTTAAAATATGCTGAAATGCACTTAATGCTAAAGTGAAATAACTGTAAAAAATGGCCTTATTTTTACACTTTTTTCCAGATGTAAAGACTAGAGATGACTTGTAATGTTACAAATAAAAATGTTAAATTATTTAGCAGTAAGTGTTTGTCTTTCCTTCGTCATGTGGTAAGCAGCTATTTTCCCATTATTCTTAAGATGATTTTTCATGTACCAAACTTGCATTAGGTGGTAACTGTTGAGATTGAAGTTTGCAGTTTGTGCACAGAATTACTTAATGATAGTGTGGAGAATGTATTTTAATTTTGCTGAGCAGTCTCAGAGCCTTTTGGTTTTCTTTTGGAAGTGCAGAGAATTTCCCAGAACCTCCAAAACCTTATAGTGTTCATTCCTGAAAAACTTGGGAAAAACTGGATGGAGACGAGGCAGATTATCGTGTGGCCATTCTGATGTAACACCAAGTCAAGAGCAAAGCCCAGAGTGTTTGGGCACTTTTGTCCGGTGTGTAACAGATGTAATCCTTAGGGAAATATAGCTTAGGCGTTTTTAAGTAAAATCTTAAGTAGAATGTGATTATCTTTAATTGTATGAGGTTCACACTCAAAATGTACTTAACTTTCTTTGCAAAGAAATGTGTGGAGTCAGCTGCCTTACAGAGTGAACCTTTCAGAGGGTGGAATAGAAAAATAACTATTACATCTTTTTTTTTTGTTTGTTTTAATTTGTAGTTGTGATGCTCAGAATCAGTTGATGTGGGCCACAAATGATGACAGTATGTAGACTACACAGCTTTGCAACCTATTAAGTTTTGGGATTGCAGTGAGCACTGATGGGATAGGCAGCTGCTAGGCAATTTGACTTAAATGCTACAAATTGATTTGTCCTAATTGTCACAAATTCTGCACTGTTTTTCCAAAACTCAGTCCCACATGAAGTATTTCATTTTAGAATCTGGAACTGATAATTGAGAGTCATGAACATGTGAACTTTGTGCTAAGAAAAAGGCTACATGTAATAAAAACGTAGTGTTGGCCATCTACCGGTAAAACAAGTGATGTTCTCGCAGTGGGAGTAACAAAACCTAGGTACAGCATTTCCTAGTTTAACCTTAAGTAACGTGCAGTGCCAGTGGTTGGTAGGCTTCTTGGTGTTACACTTCAAATCAGTGTAAATGCTCGCTTCTGAGCATGGTTCGTATTGGGTGGTGAAAACAGAGCTGGGGACTGAAATGAAGAGACTCGCAGCAATTAGGTATTGTCCAGCAGGGAAACATGTAACTGTCTACCTAAGACAGAGCCCAATACCAAGTAGCACACAATTTTATTTAAAAGAAAAAAAAATCTGAGTAAATAACAGGTTAAGGCAAACAAATAGCACATGGAATATAACTGGTCAGAAGGTTAGGTGGCTGTGCTCACGCATGGGCCCTGGCTTGCTTGAGTTGAAGAATCTTAGTTACGTGTTTGAGCAGATGCTTCGCTTTCTCTTTAAGCATCCCTCCTAGTTGAACGTGATGCTGACTGTCCTCCTTTTGTGCAGGATGTTCGGCCTGTAGGTGTAACTTCAGGTCAGAGAACAGAAGAGCATATCGTACGTGTTTGTGAAGCAAGATCGTGCTTTTGATGGTGTTTTGTTTATAAGGACTTTGGGGGGCGGGGGAATGAAGTTTTCCATTACTGTTGCTTTTCCCCCTACATCATAACCGATTTCAAATGGTGCTAGACAAAAACTGAGACTCTGAACACCAAGAGAAATCGGTCAGCCTGTGTAAGAGACATTTTCCTGGCTCAGAGAAGAATCCTCTTGCAGATGACAGCTACACATTCTTTAAAGACGACTATTCAGTGGTCTGATCAAATGCTTCATCCGCACAGCGATCATCTTTTCTGTGTATAATAACATGTCTGACAATAGTGAGGTCAAGCAAAAATAGTTTAGCTTCACTGTAGTGGTTTGGATGCAAGGGCATAGAAGTCTACTGAAACATTAGTAGAAGTTACCAGCAATAAATTTAAAAAAGAGTTCTAGAAAACAGAGTTGATTCTGTGTGCACCAGTGTGACATCATCATGATTGCTGAAGGCACTTCTGTGTTTAGCTGCTGAGCTCAAATTGTTGGAGGGAATTTCTGTGTTTGCAAAGCAAGTCTCTGGGAGCTATGGAATGATAATTCTATGGCATAGAGTCCCCAAGCACAGAGTGGAAATACTTTGCTCAAAGTTATTAAATTAAATGTTAGGGTCCTAGTGAATGTATAATAAAGGAAACGTACTCTGCCTGTCAAGATGCAAGAAGTACTACATTGGTTTTCATGCAACTTTTGGATCACTTTACTCTGGACAACTTTAACTCAATATCCATTGTTTATTAAGTAGCAATACATTTGAAGGAAGCTGTTCTTGTGGCGGCCCTAGCTTGAGAGGGTGTATACAGTGGTTGTATAAGTGTCTAGAATCAGATGATGTTACAAAGTGGATGGCTGGCAAAAAAAAAAAAACATTGGAAAAAGTGCTGGTTTAAGGAGTAGAGGCCATCGGTGAAGTTAGCAGCTGCTTGATCTCCTCCCACGCTGTAATTCTTGCTCCTAGAACACTGATTTCAAATGGTGCTAGATACAAAGTGGGAAAATCTAAGCCACCATGTGAAACCAGCTTCCAGAGGAAGACACATCTCATGCATAGCTGCAGGCTGAGAGAGAAAAATCCTTCATCTCCACCGTACCTAGAGAAAAATTCATTTATTTAATTTTATTAGAAAGTAAGACAGTGAACTTCAGGTTAGTTATTTTATTGACACTTTTTTTTTGTCATCTCGTGAGTAGTTGAGGCTGATGTAGGAGAAATGAAACAATGTGATGAAGAAACCCACCACTGTGACAATGACTGTGATTTCCTTTTGTAGCCAGGTGGAATATGCTGAGGCTCTTACCAGCAAGTAGTGAAAAAGGCCTGACTTCTTTGGTGTGCAGAGTATGATACTGATGGGGGGAGTTTGTGTTGTACAGGAACACGTTGCTCATGCCATTGCAGATAGAACCAGGCTATAAACCTCATTCTGTCCAAGGCAGAGAGCATTCTGACTTTCCATCGCTTACTGATCTCAGCATCATCAGAGCGGCCAGGACAGGTCAGGTGCTTTTTGTGACAGGGAAAGGAAATGTGATCATACCATGATGGAACTTCCTATCCCAGCTGTATTGCACAGCCTGTAAATAGCGTGCTTTTCATCAGCAAGGAGTTGCGGATTTTTGAGAGACCAAATTT